ATCTCAGCCGCAACAGATTCTACTCGGAGAAAGCAGCGGTGGTGAAGACTCACACGAGGTTAAAGCTCCGAAAAAACGAGCAGAGACATGGGTTCAAGACGAAACACGTAGCTTAATCATGTTCCGTCGAGGTATGGACGGTCTTTTCAACACATCCAAATCCAATAAACATCTCTGGGAACAGATTTCTTCGAAGATGAGAGAGAAAGGTTTCGATCGATCTCCGACTATGTGTACTGATAAGTGGAGGAATCTTTTGAAAGAGTTTAAGAAAGCTAAGCATCATGATAGAGGAAATGGATCGGCTAAAATGTCTTATTACAAGGAGATTGAAGACATTCTTAGAGAGAGGAGCAAGAAAGTGACTCAGTATAACAAGAGCCCTAATACACCACCAACCACTACTAAAGTTGATTCCTTTATGCAGTTTACTGATAAAGGTAAATCAAAATTGGCTAAATTTTAGGGTTTCTTGATTAGGGTTTATGTTGATTAGATGTTTGTTACTATTTGGGAAAATTGTTATAGGGGATTGAGAAGATGATACTAGTTGTGGACTGTCATTTTAGAGTAGGTTTCATTAATCTATTTAAGAAGATTACAATTTTGGTTACTTAATCTGGTTTTTGTGCTTTTAGTTTCTATTGTTTTAAGTGGTAACTTTTATCTTTCGTCGTAGGTTTTGACGATACGAGTATTTCATTTGGATCCGTTGAAGGTACTAATCTTTCACTTTTGTGTGTTTGTTATATCTTGCTATATATACAAAATATATTGCCTCTTGAAGCTTATCTTTTAGATTGATGTATTAGTCCTCCTTGAGTGGGAAATACTAGTGGTATTAACTTGTTTAGTGTAGCATTTGCGAGACGAAAGTTATTTGTAATATGATCTCTCTGTAATTGGAACTTGCGGTCATCAATTTTATCATTGAAGAGATGAACATTACTGTGTTGGATTCACAAACAGATTCTCTGTTAGACGGTTTAGTTTGGTTTCTAGAAAT